ACAGCTGCAGTCAAATTATCAGTAACATCTTCATGCATGATATCAACACCAAACCAAATATGATCTATAAACGAAACATAGATGATATTAATAAAATCAAAAGAAATTGTTTCTTTTTTTTGGTTTTTAAATTTTACTTTCAAAATGTTTTTGTCGAAGCTTATTTAATATATTTGTTGCATCAAATCCAGCATTTTCACATAATTGTCTTGGTATAACTTCAAATGCTTTTGCATATGCAGCTATAATTAATTGTTCTTTACTGGCTACTGTTCGACTATAATCACGTAATGTACGACTTAATGCCATTTCAATCGCACCACCACCAGCAACAATTGAATCATTTTTAACAGCACGTCGTACAATCATAATAGCATCATGTAATGAACGTTCAACTTCATCAATAAATTGTTCAGCACCACCACGTAAAATCATTGTTGCTGTTTTAGCTTTTGGGCAACCAGTAAAAAAATTATAACGTTCTGAACCAATTTGTATTTCTTCGAAAACTTCACATGTACCAAGTACTTGTTGAGATTTATCATTAAGATTTTCAACAGTTGTTATTATCGCACCACCACATGCTTTTTGTGTACGTTTAAGATCATCTTCTTGTACACGTCCAGCACAAAACATATCCCTTTTAAAATTTAAATATTTACAATTTAACTTTAAATGCTGATAATTCGAAATTTTTTTTTCGAAATATTCAAACGACATTTTTATAGTGAAACTTGGATTGAACAAAAAAGATCAGAAAAGCCTATCAAAATTTCAATAAGACAAAATGCATAAAATCTCAACACTAGTGATGTATGGGACCAAGACTGCAAGAAAAAGCCTGGTCGCGCGCAATCTATTTTCAGTAGCCGGAATATTAGTTTGAAATGTTTTTCGAAAAAATATTGTTCAGAAAATTGAACTATTCAATATTATGGCAAAAACGCCATAAATACGAGTTTGTACTCAAAGACTTTGACTATCAGAATTACAAGTTGAATCTGCGACGAATACTATACACAATACCTGAAATTAATTTTCGTCAAATGTCGAACTTAAAAATGAATTGCTTCAACTGATAGAGTGATATTGATTCGAGACTATGTGCATTGTATAAAATCAAGTGAGATATGAAAAACAGAAAGCGCGATAAGACCTGAAACATTCACAAAAAAACTATTAATCTCTTTGAGACTTGTTTCTATGCAAAGTTTCAAGTCGCTATCAATTTCTCTGTATTCATTAAAAAAATACCGTACAAGTGCAGCATCTCTGCACCCATAATCCGAAGGCGCGAACTCTTTTCAGGGTATTCATAGCTCATTTGACTCTGCATAATGCACGTAGTCTCCATTCAATAGCGGTCTAATAGTTGGAGCTATTTACTGTTAAGTTCGAAATTTTCACAATAATTAATTTCCATATGAAGAGTAAAAAAAAACAAATCATTTACCGATCAGCAAAATATTGTGTTGCAACATCACCAATAGGTAATTTTGAAAGAACAACTTTAACACCAGCTTTATGTAATTTTTCAAGTTTATCATAAAGTATTGACCATTCAGCATCAACAATTTTTTGATATTCCTATATTATATGAAAAAAAAAAAAAAAAAATATTTTCAATGACAAAAGAAAAAGAATTATTAGAAAAAAATTTTACCTCAACATTATCAAGACGAATTTCTGCATTATCTCGTTCAGCTTTCAATTCAAGTTCAATATTAAGTAAAGCTATTGTAGGTTTTAAATATTTTTTTTGTTGCATTTCAAAACCAGCATATGAAAATGTTTTTTTAAATGCAACACCATCAATAAGACGTGACTCCTAAAGAAATCAAAAAATTGAAACAAATATTTTTCATTATTCAGTGAAATATTCTACCTCAAGTGAACCACCTGTTACTTTTTTTATTCCAATCCTATAATATAAATTTTATTATTCATAAAACAGAAGAGCACATAAAAGATCAAATCAATCCACTAGAACTTTCTTTGGACAACTCCATGAAATTATATATCAATCAGAAAAATAACAAATATTGTTGTCATTATTCTAATCATTCATCCGATCATGATGGATTAAAATTGAGAAGATAAAATATGGATTTTGAAAATATTTTAATGGAGGCGTCTATCCTATAGAGTTTAATTTAACAACTAAAATGATCAAAATACATTTGATCATTTGAAAAATTCCCTAACACACTATTCTTGTGTCTTTCTGATCAATATTTCGATAAGAAAAAGTGTAACTTGATTCGAAACTAATATGATATTTGGAATCAGCATACAAAACTGAGCTGGTGTATGTGTGATTCAAACAGTTTCTAGAAGTCTATTTTTTGTCGGAGAATTCATCCGTGGTCACCCTCAAGGACCAGACAAAAAATAAACTCATTGACACCATTCTTTTTATTTTCTATATATCAGCCATTTTGCCATCTAATAACTTTAATCGAACTTTGACGTTTCTCTCTGATGCCCATATGGTGTTTTCATGCAACTTATTTTTTGGTCGAGTTCCTGAGGAGAACCACGAATGAACTTTCCGATGAAAAAAAAAGAAATATGAATTCTTTAAATTGCACATAAACCAACGCAGTTTTTTATACTGATTCTGAATATTCATCAAAAAAACACTAGAATAGTGTGCTAAAGAATTTTTCACGTTGGAAAATATATGATTTTGTAGTTTTTCAAAAGAGCCATCAAATCAACAACATCAGAATTGTGATTATTTCAATTCTCGAGTTAAAATATAAGATCCGAAGATAAATACAGTAAACATGCTAACAGTACATCGAGCCTATGTCTCATAAAATTAAACAATTCATGGGTGATTTACATATGAAATCGAAATCCTCATTAAAATAATGAAGAGGAAGGTTATTTTCAACATGTTTTTTTCGGTTGATATATGATTGACTGAAGTTAACCAAGAAAAGTTCCTATTAGGCTGATTTCATCTCTTCCTATACGATCTTTTTCAATATTCAAACAAAATATAATTACATATTCAATGGAAGCAATTCATCTAACATAAGAACAGCATCAACAACCATTTTTGAAAAAAAATTTCGTTGTCGTGCTATTAATTTTGAACTTAATGTTGTACGTGCACATTTTTCAAGTAAAGCTCGATGTTCTCTAGAAACAAAGAAAAACAGATTTTTATTTTGATCAATTTCAAATATGAATATTGATATCTTACTTAGCATCATCTGATTTAACATTAACAGCTATTTCTTTTATTTTTTTAATAGCTAATGCTGTAGCTTTTCGTATAGCACGAATAATTATAGTTGGATGCATACCATCTTCAATAAATGTTTTCGTATTTTTTAATATTTCAGCTGTTAATAAAACAACTGATGTTGTACCATCACCAACTTCAGCATCTTGAGATTTTGCTATATCAACAAGAGTTCGAGCTGCTGGATGAACAATTTCAAGCAATTTAAGTATTGTTGCACCATCATTTGATATTGTTGCTTTACCACGATCATCAACTATTAATTTATCCATACCACGTGGACCTAATGTTGTACGTATAGCTTCAGCAACAGCTTGACATGCACTTATATTTGATAAAATTTGAGATTTTCCTTGTGAAGAATCAGTACCTTCTTTAAGAATAATAATCATTGGTTGCATTTCTTTGTTTTTTTTTCCTTTTGATTTTATAGTAAGAAAAAATGTTATCTAAAAGAAAATTTGTCGAATTATTTAATAAAAATTAGACATTAAAAAAATTCAATGGGAAGACAAAAAAGAATCCGAAATTTAAATTAAGACAAAAGACTAAGCAACATCGTAGATCGATTGAAAAAAAAAAGAAGAGATATAAACACAAGGTAACTAATGAAATTCAATTGGATTATTAAATAGAATTATTATTATTTAATAAAATTCTTTTTTTAGTCATACAACATATTTTATTAATTAGAAATTTAATTAGAATTATAAATAAAACTTTTATTATTTGTTTTTTTTTTTGTACACATACAGATGTCGTTAGTAACACAAGTTCTGATAATATTTGCTAAATTTACCAGTTGATAAGGATAAGGATGAAAACAGAGAGTCATACCATTTGAAAATATGTTACAGTTAGTAGATAATACACGACAAGGTTTTATTTGTCCACAATGTCATCAAGATATGTCAAATATGGAAATGTTACAAATGCATTTTCAAAGTGTACACATGAAACAATCTGGAACAACTGCTAAAGGTAGTATTCGATCTTCTTTGATGGTGCATTAGAGTTCTTTATGACCTATGAATGATACATTAAAATAGATTTGATAATGTTGATTACTTTGCCATAAAATGAAGAATGAATTAGTTTGTCCTATTATCAATAAACTTAGATTTCGAACATAACATATGTCTATTATTCTTAGTTAATTCGACTCAGCTTCCCGAAAGTCAATTAGATGCTTTTTATCAATTTTCTCAACATTGCTAGAGTTTCCATAAGGTGAAATATGAAATATTATGGAATGCATAACATCTTCATCTCGAGAGAATCCCTGAGTGAATTAATTTCTTTGTTGGAATTACATCGTATATCTTCAACAGCAGAAACTGTAACAGGGTTCTAGAAATTCCTAAGAGGCATCATAGGTTGACGTCACGTTGTTTTATCATCTTTAAATGCATAATTGATCATACACAGAGGGATATTTAACAATCAAGTATTTGAAGTCACTCATATAATTCGAATCGGTCTAAAGTTATCGATAGAATGTGCGCTACATCAGAGGTAAAGCGAACAGACGTACGACATGAACTAATTAGTTTGTTGATCAATTTGAGAGCAAAACCAGTTAAATAGAAATGATTATTTTTATGTACTTTGAGGTTTGGTTAAATTGGCAAAACAAAAAATCAAAAGTGTTCAAGATAATTTTCAAAGTTCTAATGAACCATCAAAAATTTATGCACAATACTTTTCATTTAATTCAAATGATTCTTATTCAAAAAACCAATATATGGGACATGCTCGTTCATATAATGTTTATTATCAAAGTATACGAAAAGATAAACTAAATCAAATATTTCATAATACAAAACAACTTTTACTTCGAATTGAATTATTAACTAATACCAATGAACATATACCACGTAATGGAAATAGTAAAGAACGCCGAAGTAAAACAATTGAAAATTTTTGTTTTATATTTAGAAAAATATTTATTTTTACATAGAATATGAACAAAACATTGTTTCATGGATGGAAGATTCGGTTGCATCAACTTGTGCATCATGTTGTAAATCATTTGGTTTATCTCGACGAAAACATCATTGTCGTCTTCATGGATCGGTTATTTGTAATCAATGTTCACAATTTCTTTCATTTTCCATAGCTCGTAAAATATCACTTTATCATTTAATTTTTCTAAAACTCACATTATATTTTTCGAAGAAAAATAATCGTCAAAATAAGTTCTAAACTGAGAATAAACCCTTTCCTAGAACTCCTCAATAATGCAAAAAGACGTTGAATGGTATTAACACCAAGACTTAGACTATTCAAAGCCTTCCTAGTAATTCAACGTGTCAAGACAGCTGCCGGTTCGGATCCTCAAAAACGAGGGGCTGCAGATATAATGAATATGTACAATAGACTTGTTTGTTAGTTCAAGCGGTATACTTAGAGCAATGATGTTTAATTGATAAAAAGGAAATACGAAAATGAAAAAAAATGAGTGAATAAGGCAAACAAAGAATAGAGTGTCACTAAAAACAACAAAACTTTCTTTTCGAACAACAAAAATAAATAAGACATTATCCGTATAATCCAACTACAGTGTTTTCCTTAATATATTTTGTATTAGTATAATGAGGATAAAGAACACAAGTGAGTTCGACATTTTAGATTGAACTGACAAATTTTTTTTTTCTATTGATATTATATAATTATTAGGATGTATTATCGATTCAAATATATCATCTACTTCAACGACCAATAGTCTTGCAATTCAACAATTAATAAATCTAAAAAGTGTAACTTTATCAACGATTATTAATGATGAATCAAATGAAGATTATCTTCGTATTTGTATGTCTTGTGCACAATGTTTACACAATTATCATCATCAAATGTGTTTCAAAAATATTCCAAAAGATGAAATATTTCATCATTATGAAGTGAATTTTCTGTTTTTAAATTAATTTAATAATAAGAAAAACAAAACTAACATTTCTTTAGAAAATTGTTCAAGCACAAAACGAATATAATCATTTTCATCCAACATATTTAGCAATAATCGATTCTCTTTTGTAAGAAGCTTTATTAAATTAAAGAAAAAAAAAAAAAGTTATTTTAAATTTCATTTAACAGAAGCGGAGATACAAAATATCAAATTGTTGATGCTCAACGTGCATATCGACAATTAAATGTTCATTATGACAAAATTGATTCAATATCGTATGTTTTGTAAAATATTTATATAAATTTCGTTTTATTCTTTAGTTCATTTTAGAAAACATATTGCTGCATTAGCAGATAAATGTTTAAATATAAATGAAAATGATACGACATCAAAAAATCGTTATGCTACAATTTGTCGTAATATTCGTACATATTCAGTACAAGTTTTACAAAATTTTTCTATATCAACTAAGCGTATACCAAGTGAGGATGATATAAAGAAAGCACAAGATGAAAAAAAACGACTAGATAACGAACGTATGACAAGAACAATTTTAACTATTCCAGGAATTAATCTTAATTCATTAGAAATATCAGAAAAATTGGAACCATTTATTCAACAATATCATCAAGTAACACAATTTCTTGAACAAGCTAAATCAGCTGGACGTGATGATGAAGTCAGATTATTAGAATCAAATTTAAAAGAACTTGCACAGGCAATGAGCATTATTCATCAAAATTAGAATATAATTCTTTTCATTTTTTTATCTTTTTACTTTTTAATAATGTAAAATAAATTCTTCAGGTTCGAAATATAGTGTTTTGAATGAAAGAAAAAAGCAACTGAAAAGAGAAACAACTTGCACTGACCGGGAATCGAACTCGGGTCACCCGCGTGGGAGGCGAGCATTCTACCATTGAACCATCAGTGCGCAATTGAGTTTAGTACACCTGTATGAGTTTTTATGTCAGGACTCATAAAGTCATTGTTTTAATTAATATCTTCAGTATCAGCGTACTTTATAAAGTATATTTTTTCAAATATTCTTAAAGNACTTCACATCTTAAAATAGCACTAACTGGTTGATATGTTGGCCAAAAACCCATTGTTAATACAGAAACAAACATACTTATATTTCCAGGAACTTCACGATTATGCATATGCTAAAAGAAAATTTAATTAAGAAGAATCCCACTGCCTTTCAGTATAAGATACTGCCTAGAAATAGATTCAATAGACCGATATCTTTTCTATAGGTAAGACTAGCTAAGATATGAGCTTTCTCTTCAACTACACCAGTAGGTGCACACACATCATTCAGGACTAGCATATCTATTGATAGTCAAAATTTCATTAAAATGGTCATAGGTCTTCGCGAGTAGATCGTTGGCTCTAAGACTTCTTCTGATCTCAGTATAATTTATGAAAAACGATAGGAAATAATGAAAATGAAGCTGCACTGGCTATGAGTGGCACCAATCATTTTCGATCCCGGCTACAAAAAAAGTTTGTTCACAGGCTAGAGCCCTTCGTGTCCGACTCCGACCCGGACCTAGACTCATCCGGGTCAGGGTCTAAAGGTTTTTACTGGTTAGGTGCGGATCATAAGAAGACTTTTATGTCTATAATGCAGTGAAAAATAAAACAAATGTTGTTGATAGTGGTATAGTTGTCTAACAAAAGAAATAATATAAACGCTTTAATGCATACAATCATTATTCCATGTGAAGTTACTCACTATGAGTAAGAATCAATTATAACTTAATTGTTATGAAATCATTATCGAATTGATTAATGAACATGTAAGATGTGCTACTTGTCTAGTATAAAAGTAAAAAAGTATACCGTATCTTCTCTCAGCAGCTCTCAGACTCGATTAAAAAATTTGATTAAGAATTTAAGAGTACGTTTTGGTCCAGATCTATAATTGATTAATAAATCAGGTGTTGGTTAGAAGTGTCACTTTAACTTTACTTTTAAAGTTAAAGAAAACATAATTAAAATTTAGCATTCAAAGAATTAAAGTTACAGTAGATTTTTTCACAGAAATGATTCTTTGTTTGTTCATAAAAAATGAACCTGATGAGAAAAGAAACGATATTATTTGTGAAAAAATTGTTTTTGTTATAAAAACAAATTTTTAAAGAAAGAAATAGATTTTTTCTGAAAACTCTGACTTAATTTTGTTTTTCTTAAAGTTAAAGCTTCAAATTTTAAGTGTCATCACTACTAGTATGGGTCCAAACAGTTTTGATGAATCGGGTCCGGGTCCACAAATTCTTGGACCTGACGGACTCTATCCGAGATCCAGTTAAAAAAAAATTAGATCGCACTCAAAGGAAAGCCTGATGCCGGAACTGAAACTATCTAGCTCAGGTCTAAGCTGAACACTTCGGATATTTTCCTCGTTAGTCATTTGACATTAATCTCTACTCATAACTTATTGTTAAACTTTAGTTGGTTTTGTTTTAGTTCATGTTGGATAATTTAAAACTTCTCTTACTTGTTCGAATGCTGTCATAATATCTTTTGATAGTTCCATATCTTTAAACATGCCTTCAAGTTTACTTGTAAATACATTTCCACATTCTATAAATAGAAAAGGAAACAAAACAAAACTAAATATATTTTCATAGTCAGAAAAGAAAATCTTTTAACCTTGTTTAAGTTTAAGTAACATAGATTTTTCAGCATCAACAGATGCACTTTTTCCAACTAATAAACGTTTTGCTAAATCTTTTTTATAAAATGCTTCAAATACATCTTTTCCATGAATAAAACGAAATAAAATAAGTAATTTATCAAGAATTTTTTCTAATTCTTCTTCTGATGCTTCTTTATTTCCAGAGCGTAATCTTGCATCAACAGCTTTAGCTAAAAACAATGAATAATAACATTAAAAATGAGATATAATCAATTTAAAAACAAAAAAAGAAAAATATATATATATATCAAACCAATTAATTCAGCTGGTTTATTAGCACGTTGATTCATAAAATGTTCAAATGAATCTTTGAGTATATTGGAAAATTTTTCATTATCATGAAAACATTCATGAAGAAAACGATCTAATTTTTCTTTAAATTCAAGTAATTCATCAACCATTTTATCATCTTTATCAACATCACTTATAAGTGCACGACCATATGTCTTAAAAAACAATCAAAATTAACAAAATAATAATTTTATTATTCTTTTGTATTTTTCTTCTTACTTTTATAAAATTTCCAAATGCTTCACGAAGATCATTAATACCGACTGGACCAATTCGTAGAAATAAATCATACATTAATGCAATTGATGTATAACGATTTTCATTAACAAGTGTATCAAAACCTTTTGAAAGTATATTTTTAATATGAAGTGTAATTAAATTATTTTCAACTGTATGAATAAGTTGAACTCTACAAAAATAAAACTTAACAAAAAGTAAAAGAAAAAATTAAACATTTTATTTTACTTTGTTGATTGATCAATATAATTTATTAGTCGTGCTTGTTCTTCACGAAGACGACGTTCAACATGCATAAGATATTGACTAATTTCTAATTTTTGAATTAAATGACGACCTTCATTATGATAAAGTTCTTCAGTTGATTGTAAAAATGATGGTTCAAAATCTTTTCGATAAAGCTAAAAATAAACAATATCGTTTTAAGATTTTTAAATATTATCTACTTTTACATTTGACTAAACATAAGAAAACTAAGTAGAAATTTATAAGATAATCCGGTTGCTATCAGGAATAGAGTTGATCGAGTCCGAAGAGTTTCGGACTCACTCGGGGTTTTGGATCAGACCCGACGAGCTCCAATCTCAAGACTTCTTCTATAGAGTACCCCAGAATGACTGAGAGAAATTGATTTTAGTTTATTAGGACTTCTTTATATAAACTATATTTGCTATGGACGAAGGCGATAATATATTTGATTCTATGAGCAAAAGCAATGAGAACGTGTTTACACGAAAGACAAGGACATATTTTCTATAGCTTTTTTAACAAAATCTAGTGAACTGTAGATCTCTTATGATCATATTTGAAATCAGCATGGTTGATAGCCTACAATTCACGAGCTTTCATTGAAAACATTTGCACATTAGCTGCAGCGGAAAAAATGTTTCTCTTAATCTCTGGAAACAAGTTTAGAAAGATCTAAACGTCACTTATTGCATTTACAGATACTGAGCCTATACAAAACAAACGAGGTAATTTTGAGTAGTAGAACATCTAATTAATTGATATAACTACAGAATGTATGACTATTTTAACGATCGTGACTAAAAGTCAGTCACGATCATTAGTTCTTGCAAGAAAACACGTTGAACTGTTCATGTCAACTTCAAAATTCAAGGTGTTTGTGATGGTAAAGGCACAAAGTCTCTTCCAAGAAAGGTAAACGAGTCCATTTTTTGTGACATTATTTTTTTTCAATTCATGAAATATACAGAGAGAAACGAAGAAAAAATAGACTATACACTCAATTTCGATTTCTTTTTCACAGTAAACTTCTAGAAAGTTCAATTTTTATGTAAAATGAGACGTTTCATAGGTTTTAACTATGCTCACATATGAGTGAAATACTGAAAAACAGTTAAATCTATTTTTCCATGGAAAAAATAATTTTAATTATGAAAAGTTCATCTAAACAAGTAGAGTTCCCTTCCTATAATACATCATGTAGCCGATCTTTCATACAATCGCTATCACTATTTGAAGCAAGTTTGTCTTTCTTCGTATGAAAAACAAATCGAATTTACTTCAACTTATCCTCTTTCAAAAATCAATCTTGTTTTAGTAGAGTTCAGAAGTTATTTCTTCACTCTTGAGATAAAACATTTCAATATATATATATATATCCAATAGTACTGAAATATATGGCATCTTTACTCTTAACAATTCAATAATGAAAATTTTTCATAATAAATTTAAAGTTGTTTGTATTTATCTGATAATTTCTGATTTCATTGGATATTTTGAGGAGCCGAACCGGAACTGTCTTTCTTCCTCATTTTTAATAACCGGAACCGGAGGTGGAACAGTAGTTCTTGTTCCGGATTATTTTCGAAATTGCCGAACTCTATGGCTCAAGAACATTCAAATTGTATGAAATCCTATGTAATAATATTTTCGACAGATATTCAACTTTAAATATGTAATACTAACAAAGCTTAATTCAAAAAACGGACTCTGTCATGTTCTATGTCTTAATATGGTTTTTCAAATAACAAACAAAACATTCGTTGGTTGCAATAAAATTTCTACCGAGAATTTCGAAATGCACGATAAAAAAAAAAGCACATAAACAAAGAAAAGATTGTAGCATACATGAAGATCAATTAACATACGAATAAGATTTTTTACTAAATTTCTATCAATTGTTTCGCCTCGTCTTTCTTGTTCAATTAATTTAAGAATACCATTGATACATCTACATATTAAAAAATAGAAAAACAAATCTTTTAATATCTATTTTATTCTTCTTACCTATTTGAAATAATTGAATTTTGCATAATATAACGACGAAATAAATCTTGATTAAGTTCCCTTAAAGAAAAAAAAAAAATATTCTCAAAAACAAAAAACATCAATGATAAATTCAATACCATATACTTGGTACAGCTGCATGTAAAACATAAGTTCGATCAAGAACAATAAATAATTGGCGAATGAGACTCTAAAATAAAAAATAACATTTATTGTTTTTTTTTTTGTTGTTGTTATTAGCCTTCTTACTGCTCGTATAATATGATCATTCCAAATTGAATTCAGTACACGAAGATAATCATTACTGTCATTTGTTTCACTAAAGATATAAACAAAAATATATTTTTCTTTTGAAATTTTTAATAAAATATTACCTTAGTAAAATCGGTAAAAATGTTTGTATATGTTCATCAAGTACTTTTCTTAAATTATCATAGAGAAGAGTTGGTGGAGAAGTATTTGTATCATTTGTTGATGTTGTACATAAATGATCAATATGACGATAAAGTTGTTCTTCATTTGTTGGACTTGTTGTACCATTAAGTATAGCTTCTAATGCTTGTTTAAGTAATGGCCATATTTTATCAAAATAATCTGATGGTAATACAAGAGATGAAGCTAATGATGAGAACAAAATGAAAACATAAAAATAAATATTTGTTTCGTTTTAGTTTTCTTTGATATCTATACGAACTTTTTAAATTTTTAATAATAAGTTTTTTAGTTGAATTTGATGATATAAAAGATGATGAACCATTTGAATATCGATTACGTGTTTCTTTATCCATTGGATCTGTTGTATTATTATTATGTTGATGTTTTAATTTTTTTATTGGTGGTGACGGAGATTTTGTTGATGAATTAGGTTCTTCAAATGAACTATTTGGATGATCGCGTTTCAAGCGAATCGATGAATTTTTACCACTAGTTTTTGACATTCACAAATATAGGAACGTCAAGATTAAAATTGGGATAGGAAAGGGTAATTCAATAAAATAAAATTTGAAAACAACAAAAAAACAAGGATAAAGTTTTTTTTGTTTTGTTTCTTATAATAATGATAAATAATAGAAGTAAATTTTTAATATAGAAAAACAAATGATTATCTTTTTGTCTTTTTTTTTTTGCTGACTTTCACAAGTTTGAATGACTGACCGATTATTTTCAGAGTACAAATAACAAACAGCTGATTACATAAATCTTGTATTCAATTGGTTATATTTCCAGCAATCATAAAATAGATATAATTGTCATAGTAAAACTTCTTGATTTATTATTGTTTATTTAAATCGTTATGATATCTACTGTTAAAGGTTTCTTTCGTTTAGATCTTTATTTTTTTTTTTTTGTTATGTTTCATACTGTTAAAGATGTCTTGAAACGAAAAGGACTGCATAACGAGGTCAAAAATGCGAGATTTTTTTCTCTGACCTACTTTTTTTAAAATTCTATAGTTGAAAGATCAGGAGTAATTTTTTATGTTTTCAATCTAAAATATTGAATAAAAACTTTGCAAAATTGACGACACTTATGCAATATTGTATGAAATATTCTCCGTAAGACAATAAATACTATCGAGAATTATCTAGCATAATAACAAAAATAAATCTTATAGAATTGCATGTTTAGTTCCATAAACGATTCATATTTTTATAAATATGAGAAAAAAAATCTATCAATTATTTTGTCCATAGATAATATTTTATTTGCTTGAATAAATCTTTTTTTGAATTTCATCATAAAATATCAAATTTAAATACTCAAATTCATTTATTTGTATGATGGTTTTTTTTAAAATGAAACTTGATTATTTATTTTTTTTACAATACACTAAAAATCTAATCTACAATATCATTTGTAAAATCATGAGTATATTTTTGCAATGAAAAACAAATTTCATTTGTTGTAAATGGTGTCCATTTATCTGTTAAACTGGCATCAAGTAATATTGAAAGAATATCTTCTCCAAGATCTTTTTTTCTTGGTAATAATCGTTTAATAATATCATTAATTAAAGTTCGTCGTTCATTTAATTTTGTTTTATCATGAAAATCATATAATGGTAATAGACGATATTGAAGAAGAGGATAAGTAAATAATTGATATGTATTTATAAATAATTTTCGTTGTTGTTGTAAACTTGATGATGATGTAGGATAACGACTTTTTCTTGCACGATATAATCGATTTAATGTATAAATAAGATCAGGTTGTGATATTGCTTGAAAAAATGTACTTAAAAATATTGAATTAATTGGTGTTGTTGATAGACCAGTTGGATGTTGACGTTCATGTAATTGACATGCAAGTTCATTTCGAAAAAATACAATAGGTCTTATTATATTTATTGGAACAATAAGTGATTGTATTGGTAAATTATCATAAAGTAAATCAACATCATCTTCACGTGATTCAATTGAAAATTTAATACGTGCTCGTTTAAATCGATCAATCATGCCTGATATACCATTAGAACGAAGAATTTTATATTGAGAATCAAGTAGAATATTTGTTTCATCTATATGTCCACCTTTTAAAAGTTCATTATAATTTTTTGTATCAGTTATTAATGGTGGTTCATCATCAACAATTGAAATCATTGACCAACCACAACCAATTTCACATTTTTCTTGTGTTACTGTTGATTGACACCATAATGATAATTCCATGAGAAGTTTTAAATTTTTACCAGAAACCGATGCATTCGAACGTATAAGTAGTTCAGGTTGTTCATCAATTAATGAATTTGTATCATTACGTACAAAATGCCAATCTTCAGTTAAATCTCGTTCATCAATTTTTGACGGAATAAGTGCTCGAATTGTATGAATATTCGAAATAATTTCAGCTCCATCATAAAGACATATACGAACACATCGATCAAGAACACGAATCTATATAAAAACGAAATATTTCCTATATCAAGTTTCAAAAAAAAAAAAAAAACAACTTCTAATTAATCGAGCGAAAAGTACATACCAAATATATTCAAACTACTATTGAGAAAAAGAAAAATTTTATTTTTTATTAATAAATTGAAAACAATTCAATGATGACTTAGATTTAAATTTCTTTCTTAAAGTTTACAATTCTCTTTTTTTTCTGTTTTATAATTATAGAAAAATCATTTACCTGTTCGCCTTTAACTCGTGGTATTTTAACACATTCTTTAAGAGTAAGAATTTTTTGATGTATTACATCTTGTACATGTAATTTATCAGTATCAGCACGCCAAGAAAGATCAGTAAAAGCAAGATTTGATTCATTCATTTTCGGTATAAGACTTCGCCATAATTGATAAGGTTCGTGTTGACATAATTCGGCTAAATCTGATGGTATAAAACCAGTAGGAATATCACTTTTATCTTTAAACGCATTAACAAGGGTTATTGCTGATGTACTTGGCATTATTCGACGTCGTATTTGTTGTGTAGATAACAATTGTATTATATTTATTGGTACTGAACCTTCTTGTTGTGTTTGAACATTTTTAAATAGCCACCAATCATCAGAACGTTGTTCAACAAGTGTTATAATATCATTTTTATGTACAGTTAAATCACCAGTTTGTTCACCAATTAAATCATGTGTAACAATAAATTGTGTTCCTGGTAAAAATTTATTTGTTCGAAGTTCTTGTACATGTGCATTAACTAATGTTGGTTCTTCTTCTTGTTCATCATAATCATGATCAGACGCATATTCTCCACGATCATCTGCTTCACGTAGATGTCGAAGTTCTTCTTCTTCTTCTTCTTCATTATTACGTTCATCTTCTTCTTCTTCTTCTTCAAAATAGGAATCGTCTTCATTTTCATGATCTCGTTTTTTTCTAGCTATTGGAATTTCAGTACGTCCTTTTGGACTTTGTGATTTTTTACGTGATGCTGTAAGTGGTGGTACTATAGTTGTAGTTTTTTTAATTCTTGGTGATGAAGTTGATGTCAAATCAGTTTTAACTTCTGGTGTTTTTTTACTACTACGTGGTGTTGTTGGTGAACGTGATCGACGATCATGACCGGTAAGATCTTTACCACTTTCATCTGTTAATGTTTGACTTTTAAGTTGACTTAATAATTGACGATTATCATTAACATCATCATCATCATCATCTTCGCTTTCATCACTTTCTGCATCAGATATTTCAATTTTTTTTCGATTTGTAATTATTGGTTCAGTTTTCTTCATTAGTCGAGGTGATTTTTCGGTTACTGAAAAGAAAAAGAAATTTTGAACAAATTATTGAGAAATTTTTCTCTCTTACCTTTCTTTTTATCTGACACTACATCTTCATCACTTTCTTCTTCTTCACCTTCTTCTTCTTCGTCTTCTTCTTCTCCTTCTTCATCTTCATTATCACTTTGCACTTCATCTTTCGTTTTTTTTTGTGCAGCATCATCTGTTTTATTAACAGATTCTGTTGTTGGTGGTGCTGCCGGTGTCGCAGTATCAAGTGGCTTCTTTGATGATGATTTTCTTTTACCAAATGGAAGTTTTTTTATGAATGCGCTAACTCCTTTTGTATTTTCATTTTCAGTTGATGCTCGTGGAGCAGCTACTGGTTGACCATCGGCAGATGTTGCAGTAGTTTGAAGATCAGCTGAAGTTGCAGTTGTTGCTGGTATTGTTCCAGTTGCTTTTTCAAGATGTTTATCAACATCATTAAGATCTTTTGAAAGACCTGATAAAGTTTTTAATGCAGTTTTTTTTGTTTTATCAAATTTTTTTGCTGGCCACTTTGGATCTGTATCTTTGGTCATTGCATCCATTTGTTTTTGAAGATTAATAATGCGTTCATTTAAATCTCGAATTTGTGTACGACCTTCAACTGATCGATCACGATTAGCAGCAGCTTTTTTTCGTCCAGTTTCAATTTTTTCCAAGGTTTTTGTTGCAGTATCAACATCTTTTTTTAATTGATCGATTTCGTTCATTAATTGTTCCATTGATTTAGCTGATGACGATGTAGCTGCTATTGCTGCCGCCGTATCAGCCGATGACGGAGCTAAAGGACCTAATAGTGCAGATATACCTCCTGTAGGAGCTGCCATGTTCAAGGCTCAATTATTCTGTAGTCGATATAAATTGATTCAGTCCTGTCTACTGTGCTAATGTAGAGTATCTTGGCAACTACACTTCTGCTGATGATTATATATTTTCGGAACTTTATTGAGTTTACCTCTCAAAAATGAATTTAAAAGAAAATCAGATTTTTTTTATTTAATATATTTCTCTTATTTTCAAGAAGGTGTTAGAATTGATCAAGATATTAGTGACCTCTATCGACAGACAATTTATGATGGAAGTATATGGAATAAAAAAACTATACATTTATATGTTACAGTTAAGATTGAAATTCGACTAGAAGTAAACTGATCTAGTCGCCTGAGAATTGTATGAAGTGCACGAGTCACTGAATAGAAATAACCGCAAAATAAGTATCTTTTATCTTTCTAACGACTCTGATCAGTGTTTTTAATGATTAGTGTACACCAGCAGAGCAAAGTGTACGTACACTCTCTTTTTTTAGAATACACTTTGTTTTCCTATGAAGTACACTCTGAAAATAAAATTTTTGGCTTAGCAAAGTGTATGCGTACACTGTGCTTCGAAATCCTATTAAAAACGCTGACTCTGATTCCTGTTAGAAAATTCTGGACTTGACATGTTCTAATGACTACAGATCGCAAAATATCAAGACAAAAATGTAGTATTACTGTGAGATCTACAGAAGGATCTTAAACTCGCACAGTATACTATTCTCATTAAAGTCTGTCTCCATGCAATATTTGAAATCAAAATTGAATAATTTTTCGAGTGTTTTCAAGGAGCACCATGAAATCAACCAAGGGTTCGAACTCTACATGATATTCATAGCTCACTAGAGTCTACATGATACACATAGTTCTAGCCGAAAAAACAATTAATCATTTGACAAGTTATTCTTTCTTGTAAAGCATGATCTAAAAGGAGTGTTGAAATATAGAATCAAAAATTTAGGCCCATCCTCTTTCCATCAGAGACATTCTTGTTTTACAATCAATAACGTATCGTTATAAGATGAATTATTTTCTTACTACATATCTAGAGCATTAAGTAAAAAAAAATAGTGAAGAAATGTATCCCAAAATAGATAGAATAAAACAATCTCCCTATGATTATCAAGAGTAGCTACATCCTGTTTTCCATTTCGATCCTACAGGGTTTCTGCTAACAACGTTCTTTCTATTCATGATACTAATTTCCATCATTGTACATCTCATATCAGGCTTAGAAACCAATATGGCCTTAAAATCAATTACAATATGAACTTAACGCATACGTATCAAGTTACAACAATATAACATAGATGAATTTCGTCTAAAATGGCACTATGAAGAAAAAGATTATGCAATACAAATCATTTGATAATTTATTTCCTTCATTTTTATATCATATGCAAACAATGAAATTACTTTCAAAAGAAAAAAAAACAAAAACAAAATGAACTCTTTATCATTCATAAGATCTAATGTAACATAAGAAACATTAAAAAACATATAATATTTCAAATTTCATAATAACTTAAAATTTTCTTTTGTTTCGTTTCAATCAAAGATAAGACAAGAATTGCAAAGTTTATTTTATATATATATATATATTCTACATAAATAATGATCATACCAAAGAAAAGAATTCATATATAAAGGTAAGAAGAGATCTGTTTGTTTAAATACGGAATGTAAATATAAGAAAAAATAAAGTCAACAGGGAACAAAAATGAACAACATCAAACAAAAAATAATAATTATTATAATTTTGATTCTTTCTTTCTTTCTTTCTTTCTTTTTTTTTTTTATTGTTTAACATCGTGTTTCATATAAACCACTTTTACCAATATATCGTACCCATTTAATAGTTTCAGAATCTGAATAATTAAGTTTATGTTCGAATACTTTAAGATATCGAACTTTAAAACCTGATGGTGCAAATGGTACTTCAAAATTCATTGATATTGGTGGACGATTCCATTTTTTTTTATCATTTGGTAATAATTCAATTTCAGCACTTAATTGTGATTCTTTCATACCACCCATACGTTTCATTTTCCATACAATAGCATTTTCAGATGATTTATGTTTAGCTTTACCTTTCATACATAATAATTGTACATCACATGTATTTGGTGGTGTTGGTATACGTATTTCAATTTTTTGTCCAATAAGTGTTGGTTTAAAATTTGATTTAACAACAACTTTAACTTCCATTTTTGTTCGACCTATTTCACGTACTAATGGTATAACACGAAATGGTAAACTAATATCTTTTGTTGTTCTATAACGCATTAATTCAAATTCACCATCCGGTGGTATAAATGATATTGAATGTTCAGATTCAAATTTTGATAATTTAACACATTGATGAAATTGACAATCATCTATAGCAATAGCTGTTTTTGTTGTTGTTGTTGTTGGATTTGTTGAACTATTATTATTATTAGCTGGATTTGTTGAATCTAATTGATTTTTTGTACGATTTTCAACTGTTATTTTATCATTTATACCAAATTTACATTCAGGCATACCTGATAAATAACTTTTCATAACAACACGTCCAGCAACATGCGTACTTAATACTTGACCTTGTTGTGACATAAGTAAATTAACAGATTCAATAACATCAAGAAATAATTCATTACGACGATATTTAATACCTTCACGTCTCCAACCAATTTGTCCTGTTACAGCTGATGTTACATTTGTTTGTTCTTCACGTGTAATGGGTCGTACACCTTGTTGTGTTATAAATGTTTTTAATACACCTGTATCACTATTTTGTGGATAACCAAAATCAAGTATTTCATCCAATAATTCATAAATTAAAACAAAATTATTTTTAACATTTTCTTCACTTATTTTACCAAAATATGATTGCATTATATCAATCATTTTATTTAAAAATTCAAATACCATAGCAGCATTTATATTTTGTTTAGCTACAGCACATAACCATATATTTGAACGTTTTGTATAGAAAAAACTTGTTCGAGCTATATTAACAACTGGAAAACGTGATTGTTGTCGTGCATGAATAACATTAACACGAAATGCATCAACAGCATTTCGTCCAATATCATCACGATAAACACGCTATAGAGAAATAAAAGAAAATAAATAAAAAGAATTTACGAAATTTATTTTTTTATTAGTCTTACTGATATAAGAACTTCGCCTTTATGATTATAAATAAAAACGCCACCGATCATTTTTATTTATGTTTTTTTTTTTTGAGAAGGATGAGATTTTTTTTTTAGTGAGTAAAGAAGAAAAAAGCTTATATTGGATTACTTTTTCTTCAATCCATAAAATACCTTATTAAGTCATCTATGCATCTTTATTTCAAATTTTCTTTTTTTCTTTTTATTCTTATAAATATCGTCATTTGTATTTTTTTTTTTATTATACTTATGAGTAACAATGAACTAATAAGTGTCTTTTAGTATTATGATTATTTGATGGCGTAGGTTTTCTTCATCAGTATGCTGACACATCGCTAAAATTCGCTTATAAGACACAAATATTTGTTGCTACATATTTCATCTTTTCTCCTATTGCACATTGTTTGCTCCAAACAAAAGACACATTCGTCAATATCGTTTTTTACATGTTGACTCATTTCTAGATTTTTCGTATTTCTTTATATTAACTTATATTTCGCGCTTAATATCTAATATCCTTAAAAAAAAAAAAATCTAAATAAATTATGCCATCAAATCCAGTTGATCAATATATAAAATTATTATCACGTGAACAACAAGAAAATGATAAATATGTTATTATTGATGCTAAATGGTTTGAACATTGGAAACGTTTTATTGGTATTGATTCACCACCAGAAAAAAATTCTCCACCAGGTCCAATTGATTTTTCTAGTCTAATCGATCAATCAACAATTGATCATCCTGATGGTGTACAATTACGTTCAGATGCTGTTGAAGGCAATGATTATACATTTATTCCTTATGAACTTTATCAAGATCTTTCTCAAACATATAAAAAAATCGGTCATGAAATTATTCGTAAAGTTATACCATCAGGTGATTTTCAAACAATTATTGAAACATATTTAATACCATTACGTATACGTAAAACACGACAAAATACATCAACAACAAAACAACTTTATCGTAGTCGTCGAACAAAATTAGATGATTTAAAAACAGATATATGTAAAATATTTTCTATACCATCAGATTCTTATACAAATCATCGTTTATATACATCAACAGATGAATATGGTGATAATTGGGAACCTATTGATGTTCGTCCAGGTAGTATACTTGCTGATATTGAATTATCTAAAAATGCTTTAATAACATATGAACCAATAACATTATCACGAAATAATTTATCACCTGTACCAAGTGGAACATTTTATACACCAGGTTTATGTGGTTTATCAAATTTAGGTAATACATGTTTTATGAATTCAGCATTACAATGTATATCAAATGTACCATCATTAACAGAATATTTTCTTCGACGAGAATATTTACAACATATTAATCGTGATAATCCATTAGGTATGAAAGGAGATGTTGCACAAGCATATGGTGATTTAATAGCAAATATGTGGTCAGGTAAAATAAATTATTATGCACCAAAAGCATTAAAACAAAATGTTGCACGTTATGCACCACAATTTAGTGGTTATTCTCAACAAGATTCACAAGAATTTATGTCATTTTTACTTGATGGTTTACATGAAGATTTAAATTTAATTAAACAAAAACCATATATGGAAAAAAAAGATGATGATGGTATTGTTGAAGATGTTAAATTAGCTTCTGAACAATGGGATTATTATCGTAAACGTAATCAATCTAAAATACATGATATATTTCATGGACAAATAAAATCTGTTGTACAATGTCTTGATTGTAAAACATCAGGACGTACATTTGATCCAATTTGTTTTTTAAGTTTACCATTACCAAATAAAAAAAAAATTCGTATTTTTAAAATAGAATATGTACGTTTAAATGGACAAATAAAATATTATTATATTAAATCAAATGAACGTGGTCGTATGCATAATTTATTAAAAGATTTTTGTGAACGTTTTCAACCAAAACAAAAACATAATACACATGAACCAATGGATGCTGATGATGAAACAACATTAAGTGCAATAAATTCAAATAATCAAGATGATGAACAAGAAGATGATTTAACATTAGCATCTGATTATGATGGACATCAACCTAAATCAGAATTAATTTTACCTGTTGAAGTTTATAATCATCGTATACATTTACAATATAGTGATGATGCATTATTAACAAATATACTTGAACGTGATCAAATTGTTTTTTATGAAGTACCTGTTTCATTAAAAAAAGAAAATAATGAAACTATTTTAATGCCATGTCTATTTCGTACAGCCGATAGTTTACATCAAAATTTTGGTTTACCTATTTATCTTAATATTCCAAGACATAAATGTACAGGAAGACATATTCAAGATGCTTTACAAGTAAAATATTTTTTTTCTAATTATTAATTCTTTCATATAAATGAATATTTTTCTAGAATTCAATTGGTAATTTTCTCCCATTACTACCATCTCATTCAAATCAATCATCGGATAAATCTCATTATACAGCATCATGTGTATTTAATCAAAATTATACTCAAACAACAAAACCATTAGCATCATGTCTTGATGATCATATTGATTTTAATCGTACAAATACAACACTTGTTGTTGATGTTGCATCATCAATTGTTGAAAAATATGAACAAGAAGAAAAAAAACGTTTAGATAAAGAACATCTACAACCAACATCATCATCAACAAATAATAGTGGTGTACAAACACGTAGTCAACATAAACAATCAACAACATCATTATTAGATTGTTTTAAATATTTTACAACTAAAGAAACATTATCGGATAATGATCAATGGTATTGTCCAAAATGTAAACAATTAAAAAATGCATCGAAAAAAATTGATTTATGGTTATTACCTAAAGTTTTAATTGTACAATTAAAACGTTTTAATTATACACGACATTATCGTGATAAAATTGATTTATTTATTGATTGTCCTATATATGATTTAGATCTATCACAATTTGTTCTTAATCCAGCTGAAAAATCTAATGCAAAATATGATCTTATTGCTGTAAGTAATCATATGGGTGGTTTAGGTGGTGGACATTATACAGCACATGCAAAAAATATACATGATCAAAAATGGCATACATTTGATGATTCATGTGTAACCGATATAGATGAAAGTAATGTTATTAGTAAGTCAGCATATGTACTTATTTATCAACAACAATCTCAATCAGTGCAGCAGCAGCAGCAGCAACAACAACAACAACAGCAACAACCACAAGCAAAAGATTCACCACGAAAAATCAGTGCACGAGCGACTAAAGCATCTAGTTAATTTGAACAATCTCAGATGTTTTTTTTTTTGATTTTTGTCTCTCTCTCTCTATCTCTCGGTGTTGTCACTTTTTTTTTTCTTTTTTTTTTCTCGATCGTTTAAAACAAAAACTAAAATCGTTCAATTTCAACCAAGCTTTTGCTAAACACAAAAAAAAACAATATTATATATTTTATGTTCCCATACATACATTACGTTTTTTAATGTTATCCTTAAACAGACATATAACACTTGGAAAAAAAAAAACAAAAAACACAAATAAATTATAAAATTTTTCCTCTTTTTTTTTTTTTTTTTCTTCTCTTTTTGTTACAGATTGTTTATTAGTAATTAATAAAAATGATGCAATATAGCAAGATGATTCGATAATCGTCTGTAATATAGCTCATTTCAGAATATTCATAGTGTTTTGTATGAATAACATATATATATCATTAATAATCGATTGGAAAATGCGTAGAAAAACAAAAAGTTTTGGTGAATATGATAAGAACTTTTTTCGATTCGAATAGTTTAACAATCAACATGGACAATATTTTATAACGATAGTGCAAGTATTGATTAGATTTTTTCTTCCTCTTGATTTATTTAGCCGATTGATTTAAACGATTATCAACATGTAAAAGAAAATTTGCAATAATGGTTTGTCAATATATGTCAAATAAGAATAAATTCTTTGATATTATCTCTTTCTAGAATATAGATGATCAGAAAAAAACAAGAAAACAATAGTATTGATTCTCAATTTGATTTCTATAATTCATTATGTACACATTGTTAATGTAATATGTTTAAAAAATTCACATGAAATCATTTATTATTCGAACATATATAACAATAAAAACTATGATGGTAGGAGAAAAGTCTTTATCTATTTCAGTTCAATTGATTATGGATTTGATTTATTATTTAAAATGATATTTTAAGATAGATTTTTAGTAAAATTGAAAAGTATAGAAAATACTACATATTCTTATTGATTTGCATCAATATAAGTAACTGTTAGGTGAAAAATCAAAATATGACGAGCTACTATTTTTAAGATAAATGTTTGTAATTTTATCGAACGATGATGTGATTACAGACAAAGTTAAAAAACATATTTTTTGAAAATTAAAATATATAGTCAACCTTCCTAACAATATAAGATGTCGGCTCTTCTATTCTGTTTCATTTATTTTCATAATTTATGACTATCAGCTCAAAACTCTAAAAATTAAGAAAACCCAACTAAACACATTTTGATGTAGAAAGAAATACGGGTCGTGTTTATCGTAGCTAAAGCTGACGGATCCAAAATTTTCTGATCTGATTCAATAGAAAAATTTTAGACTCGAACCCAACATGTGCTTCTCGATTTGCTTAGTTCCAGACTAACAAAATAGAGATATGCATCTAGATATAAACGTACATTAAGTAAATTACTAAATAAATACAAAGAAAGCCTTGATATAAAACAATGATTCGTTTCATAAAACTAAAGTTTTCTTTTTACATAATATAAAATTTAATTTTTATGTTCGCTAAATACAAAAACAAAAGGATTTTGAATAAGTTATGTTCAAAAATTATTTGCAATGTTATCAGTTTTTTAATTGTTGTACTGTCATAACTAATATATTATTTTTTTTTAACACTGTTTTTAAAACTTCATTTTTAATTTCAAAATGATAATTGAATACAGTGATTAAAGAGCTTATTTAATCATATACTAACTTATTTATATTTTAAATAAAGCGTAATAAATACAAATAGATATTTATGCGCTGTTTCTATTGGAAAAGAAATTAGTGTTTTGTAGAAATGCCGAAAGGAAAAACATCGGAAACTTCATTTGTCAAGGCATTCTTTATTTTTGACATAACGGGATGCGATAGTAGATGTGGGTTATATTTTTCTCTTCATCCACAACTACGCCCACCTTGGAGACTCGACTATTTTTTTGAATATTTTTCTCGTTTGATAATTTTAACCTTTTTTTTCTTTCGACTTTTCTGCGATCAACAAAAAAGAAAATTAATTTCATATCTTTCGAAAAATGTGATTTTAATTAATCATAATCTTACATACAGATTTACTCTCTAACTCTTAATTATTATTACATCAAATTCTAATGTATATAGTATTGAACTATTCAATAGTTTAATAACAATTATTGTTACTTCGAAAAACATTCTAGATCGAAAAAAAAACACGACCGTAAATTATAGAGAAATACGGTTCAGCAATGTAACATGTAGATACCATTTTTTTTTTGTTACATTACGCAGTCATTTGTACCATGGTAACTATGTTACAGAGAAATATGAATGAATTCTTATTTATAGATTCTATCCTTTCTGTCTAGGGAATCAATTAAAGATCCAAGTTGAAGAGAAAATAATTAAGTAAGAGGATCTTCTATTGCCCGGAAGGAATTTATTCGAAAAAATTAGATAATATTGTAAACATTTAACAGAAAATATTATACTGAGAATAGTGATGCAATCATATAAACTAAATTATTCGAAATATGCTACTAACAGATATTTATTGTTAGAATGTTTTTTTTATTTGTATTATGCTTTCGGCATTTCTAAAAGCTATCTAGAGATTATTATGTTATGTAAATTTATTTAAAATGAGAAATGTATTTACAAAAATTACATATTCCTTAATGGAATGTGATGAAATTGACGGAAAAATTACTATGCACTAAGAGAATGTTCGGGAATTTGAGCATTTTGTGGTTAATTGAGATTAGTCGTCTCTCTGATTTCTCTTGAAAAAGACGAAGGACAACAAAACAAAAAAAACCAAGGATAATATTAAATTATGCAGATGTCAAAATAAAAGCTGATTTTTCATACGTATAAATACTAAAGAATGCTAAACGCTTTATTAATTTTAATAACGATGTAAAATAATCGTTTTGTAATTAATTTATTTTATACAATTAATTAACATGATTAAAACTTACTGATTATTTTTTTTATTTTTAGGATGAATTATCGGATGAAATGAGAAAATAAAATGTTTTATTATTAATGTTCAATAAAAACGTTTGATTAATAGTCTTAAATATGTTTAAGCATTACATATGATGTATTAATAAATATAAACTATATATTTAAGTTACATCGAATATAGTATCCATTAATATAGTCTTGTTTCAAACATTACAATTTTTATATGTGACAAAAGAATTGATCTATGAATTTAACGATGTACAAAATTTCTTTAAATTGATATTTATATAAATTATCATTAAGACGAAAAAGTTTTTTCTGTCTGATATCTTTCAAAAATCTGAATTCGTCATTTTTTTTTGAATAAAATAAAAAATAAACTAAATGATCTCTCTTACATGTTTTCATTTCGAATGAGACAATTATAAACATTTACCGTTGTGGTTGGTCAAATGTTTCTTGATGATGCACTGGTTGGAAATAACTTATCATAACTACGAAAAAGTGTAGCAGTAATCGAATAGAAAAGTAATGTCGCAAGAAACTTGATAGTTACATCAGCAACCAATGAAATGAAAGGTGTCGACTATTGTTTTTGAAATAATCGAATGTTAGTGAAAAAGAAAAAGTTACAAAAATTCTATTTATTTTTTTTTAGATTTTTACAGTATCAATTAAGTTTAGTTCGATCTATTAATGGATGTTAATCGTGATAGTAAGTAAATTTTAAAAATTGAAATAATAATAATAATAATTATTTATTTAGATTTTTATGATGTTTTACCAGAAGTTTTAAATGATATAAATAATGCTGATTATATAGCAATTGATGGTGAATTTACAGGAATATTAGCATTTGATCGAATGAATTATTTTGATACTCCAGCTGACCGATATAAACGTCATTATGAAGTGAATATCTTCTTTTTTTTTTTGGTTTCATATAAATATTTTGAAATTTTGTATTATTTATTTCAGTGTGATAGACATTATTTAATGATTCAAGTTGGTCTTGCAATGGTTCGATGTTTAAATCCAACAGAACATCGGTAATAAATATTTAAGATTTATTTTGAAATTTCTTATAATGCTTTTTGTATTTTTTTTTTTTAATATTTTAGATATTCATTAAAAGCTTATAATTTTTATTTATTTCCTGAAAATGAAACAGATGCATTTGATTTTCGATCGAAAGTAAAATTGAATAAAATTTTTTGAAAAAAAATATTTTTCTTTTGTTGTGTTTTTGTAAATAATAGAGTTCATCGTTACAATTTCTAGCAGCTAATCGTTTTGATTTTGTTCAATTATTTCTCAAAGGTAATTCAAATATATTCATAATATATTGGAACATTTTTCTTTTAGGTATTCCTTTTGTTTGCAGAACGAAACATTTAGAAAAATTGAAAAATTCACAATTTCCATCATCATCACGCCGTAATAATCGTCAGATACCTAATGGTAACAATAACAATGAAAAGTAAAAGATTTTAAATTATTATTATTATATCGATAAAAAATGTTTGTTTTTTTTTTCGTTTATTATAAAAGAAAATCTGAAACAATGGCAAATTCACCAAAACAACCGGAATCTACTAATTTGTCAGATGCAGATTTATTAAAAAATTCAATGACCGGATTTTCAGAAGTTATTTGGTATGCTTTCAATTCATATTTTTATTGTTTAAGACTTATAAAAGTGTTTTTTTTTTTTATTTTATAGGAAACTACAAGAGTCTGTAAGTGATTTTATTGATACCGATGGCCATTAAGAACGATGCGAAGAAGAATATTTTTCGCCTTGAATTTATGAAGTATAGATCAAAGATGGAACCGATACTGATTATTCACCGATCCCATCTTGAATATTTGAGGGTGTCTTAGCTCAGATGGATCCATAAAATTTTGCTCTGTTATTATATCATTGGGTTGAATCCCTTTGAGATTTGTGCATCAACAGTTGAGTTTCGATAAATAAAAGTGCGAAAAAGGCATCTGGAACCGGGTTCACGATAGTGGCGAAGCTAGAAAAAACTTGTAGCGAGGAAGGAC